GAGGGAAAGCCGCCGGGGGGCGCCCCTGCGTCGCAGCAGTAGCCGCCGCCGCCGTCCTCCGGCTCGCCGGGGCCCCCCGAGGGCGGCGGGGCGAGCGCGTGCGGGGCCGCCGAGGGCGCGGGCTGCAGCAGCAGGCACGCCCCGTCGCGGTAGCAGTACTCGTGCAGCTGGTGGCTGAGGAACTCCACCTCCGCCTGCTCGTCCGCCAGCAGCTCATCGCCGTCCTCCAGCGGGTCCCGAGAGGACTGGTCGGTGAAGAAGTCCTCCTCGTCAAAGTAAGGAGACGGGAAGGCGTCCAGGCCCCCGGGGAAGTGCTCTAGCAGCACCGCGTCCATGCTCCGTGCCGCCGCGGGCCCGGGGCGGGGGGCGGCTGAGGTGGTTCCCGGGATGTTTGACGTTGCAGTTCTGGCTCGAGAGGCAGCCCCCTCCCTCCGGGCTGGTGCGCCAGAGGCGGTGAGCGCTGCCCGCCCGCCGCCCGCCGCCCGCCCCCCCGGCCTCCCTGGAGTGTCCGCGGCCGCTCGGCTCTGGCGGGCGCCCGCGCTGCGCCGGGGAGGGCCGTGGCCGACTTGCTGAAGCCGAGGGCCGGCACGCGAGGATTCTTATAACTACATCCACAGGCGCGTGCCAGGGACCCGCGGCGCCAGCCAATCACCGAGTGCGGGGTGCCGGCGGGAGGGGGGGCAGGGAGGCCCCGTCGGCGGCGCCGGGGCCCGGGCGGCTTCGCTCCCAGTGGGAGCTCCCGGGGCGAAGAGGGGGCGGGGCTCGCGCGGCCCGGGGCCCCTCGCGTCCCTCCCCGCCCGCCCCTCCGACGAGCGCCTGCGGGGCGCGGGCCTCCGGGGGTCCCTGCGGCCCTTGGCGCCCGCCGCTCGTCTCCCGCGCGCTGCGCGAAGCTGGGCCCTTCCGCGCGGGGGCTGGGACGCGGCGCGAGGCGTCTGCTCACAGCCACCAAAGGTCCCATGGGTGCGCGTCGGCGGCTCAGGGTGCGGAGCGGATCGCGGGCGGAGCTCGGGGGTCCGGGGACAAACGCCGGGCTGTCCGGCGGGGTGCATTCGCCGGCCCCTTGCGCGCGCCGGCCTCCCGCCTGAGTTTCGCTGGGTCTCCTCTCATCAGCGGACTTTTCAAGGACTCCTGTAAAGTTTGCACGGTGTGTGCGGGTGGGGTGGGGAGGCGACGCCGTGCAGCTCCCACGCGTTCCAGACTCAGGCCGGAGTCCCCTCCCCTCCTTTACCCCGCCCGGGAGAAATAGATGGGGACACTGGAGCGGCTGCCTTGGAGAGCGGCTCAGTGGGGCACGTTTCTGCGGAGAGCAAATCGAGACCCTAGGGGTTCGGAGCAGTAAAACCTGATACAAAAGGAGTCCAATGAATCGTCTGCTCTGGAGCAGTCCGGAGGGAGGGCATGGAAGTTAAAGGGCGAGTGTGAACCCTTTCAAAGCCTGGGTCCCTCACCTTTCTGACTGGCCACCGGGACTGTCCCTGAATGATTTTTTTTTTTTCTTTCTCGACCTTTAAAAAAAAAAAAAAAACAAACCCCAAACACAAAACCTGTGTGCTATGGCCCATGACACGCTTTATCACAGCCGCCGATGCAACTCGAATTCTTCAATGTAAGAGTAACAAAGAAACACTTTCAAGGTCGGGGCAATTCCTGGAGAAAGCCAAGCTCCAACTCGCACCCCGGGAGAGCAAAGTGGCGCACGTTCTCTGAACAGAAGACTGAGAGGCGAGGGCTTCGTGGGGCAGCCGCTTCCTTTTTCAGACACTTGTCTCACCAGAGGCTTCTAGGGCGTTTTCAGACTCCTCTCAAAATCCAGGGCCGTGCCTTTTAAGAACAGCGATTTCAACAGGCTTCTTGGTTTTAGACCTTACACTGTTTCCAACTCAACTGCTGTGACCCAAAAGGTAAGGGCAAAAATTATGTACGGTTAGAAGACCAGAGATTAATGTCAAAAACCCCAAACAATTTTAACCCAAAGGCTTACTGTTTTACAGCAAGTTCTTTCCTGTGTCGGCCTGTGCCCCTTCCCGGTGACGTGGCTATCCATAACGCTGATGCAAACGTGGCCGCGTACCCTGTGTCAGACCCGAGTTGCAGTTTCGTGCATCTAGATTTATCTGTCTCACCTCAAAGAGAAGGAAGCTTTTGGGGAGTGGAGGGTCAAGACCACAGATCTAGCCAGCTGGTGGTGTGCACCCAGTTCTCTTTACATTTAAAAGGCCCTCATCCCTTTCCCTCACTTGGTTGGACTGAAATTAAGTGGCAACATGCCCTTGGATCAGTCGGAGGACTTGGGAGAATAATAAATGATCAGACTTCAAAGCCTTCTCCAAAATATTGCTAACCAGTTCAGGGAAGGCTGGAATCCAGCCTACAAAGGCGGTCTCTTGGAGAGGCTGAGGGGCCTTCTCTGATTCATCCAGGTGGCTTTGGAGAAAGTGGTTATGTTGGGGAGGGAGCTGGGGGTCCTGGGAGTCAGTAGGCGTGTATATGGGTGTCTTTTTACCCCGTGTGATTTTAGCAGTTAGCTTCCACACAAAATCATCCCACATAGGCTCAGTGAGTTTGTGGTAGAGTACAGAAAATTACCTTGGGCACCTAGGTGAGCTGATGGGAAACGAGCTGGAAACCTTACTGCTCCATGAGGCTGAGCAGAGCTAGTGTGGACATTCTGGGCAGTTCTCGGGCTTCATGGATGAGCATGGGATAGGAGGAAAAGACAGGATAGTCACGTGTTCCAGACATAACCCTCTTCACCCTCTCGTTCCTCACCCCCACCATGTCCCCCTTAAAGAATCGCCGACTGTCTGGAGACCACTCCTGTTGGGACCAAGGGCTAGGCCTGCAGAGACTGGGATACTGGTGTGGGCATGCATGTAAGTAAGACATGATGGTTCTTTTCTCTAATAAAAAGAAGAAAGACCTCACCGCTAATAAAGGACATTTTCTCTGGGTCACTGGAGGTCCCAACAGTGTGGACGGCTGCCCTCCGCCTCAGGAAGCAACAGGTTGGTTGAGGAAATGGCTGGAGGCCCAGCTTTCACTCCAGCCCCTCCCTCCACTCTTCGTGGATCCTCTGGGCCCACGGAGAGGGACAGGGTCAAAAGTTTGCAGGTGTCCTTCGTGAAGAGAGGGACAGAGCTGGTCCCAGAGCTGTGAGCCTCCTCACCCCTGCGAAGGCCCAGCATCCTTCTTCTCCCACAACATCTCTGTCCTCTGAAGAGGTGTTCCCTGACATCCTGAGAAATCCCTGCCTCATTATAAACTAACACCCATCCGCTAAGGTCAGCAGTGGCAGGGGCAATTGCTTCTTTTTAGTTACAATACCGGTGAGGCCTTGTGATTTTTTTTTTTTTTTTTCCAAGTCTTTCCAGAGTCGCTCAGTGCCACCTGCTGCCCCGGGGCCCAGTTGACTCCTCACACACTCTGTCGGGGCTGCCTCGGAGCCTCATACGTCTTCAAGGTTCTTGGTTCCAGAACTTCTGGCAAGGCCCGCTGGGCACCGAGGAAGCCTTGCTGCCCCCAGCCCACCGTGCCTCTCAGCTCTCTCCCTCCCAGGAGTCTCAAGGACCCGAAGACTTGTTCATCTGCTTATTTGTTCATCCGTTTCCCATCAAACCCTTCTAGCATCTTGCCCTAGCTTTTGGGAGCAACAACTGGAGAGTTGGAGCCCAGGCCCCTCCTGGGTCTTTCCTGGGATGAATTTCGGGCAGACATCATTAATGAAGAGTGGGGCTTCCGGGCTCTCCATCCTTCAACTTGCCCTTCGTCTGTGCCCATGGGGTCTGATGCCTGCTGGGTGTATGTCCTCCCTGCTGGAGCCCAGCCTCCCCAGAAACCGGGGTGGGGGGGGGGGCAGCTGTCCTGCCCCTCACAATCCCACATTCCTCACTTAGTGCTTGCAAGCAGGTACTTGTGGATGTGACCCATGGTCCGTCTCCCAGCCGGAAAATGGGTCCATGTGAATTCCTCGTGACCCAGATTGTCCCCTTCCTCTCTGATAAACACAGAGGTGGTATTAGGTGGTGGTTTGTAATCTCCTGTATCTGTTTCTTTCTTTGCTTCCCCTCCTCCCTGCCCTTTTCTGTGAAACCTTTTCTTCTCTCCACTTTAGTGCCGTCAGCAACCCATTCTTTTAATGTTTATTTTTGAGAGACAGCGCGAGACAGAGTGGGGGAGAGGGCGGAGGAGGGGCAGGCAGAAAGAGAGAGGGAGAGAGAGACCGAGGATCCAAAGCAGGTGCCGTGCTGTCAGTGCAGAGCCCGATGTGGGGCTCGAACCCATGAACAGTGAGATCCTGACCTGAGCCAAAGTCAGACGCTTAACCAACCGACTGAGCCACCCAGGTGCCCCAGCAACCCATTCTTTATCCCTCGTCTGCTAGGAGAGGATTTGAAAAATAGAATCACGGGGGGGTTAATGGTGAAAGGTTTCTGAGGCCCAGCAGGGTTCAGTGACTTCCCTAAGGTCACACAGCAGGTTACTTCAGCCCAGTGCTGGTTCCACTGGCTGCTGAGAGCGAGTTCCAGCCTTGCTTATACCCTTTCATAAAGGGTAGGTTTATATTGGTGTGCAAAGGAGTCAGTCCCGGCCCTGTTCTAAATCTGCCCAGATTACCAGGTACCACCTTCCTGGCCTCCCCAACTCTCCGGAGTCCTGGCTGCACTTTGGATACCACAGTGCCTCCTGAGTGCTGAGGGAGGAATCACTGAATGGCGCTATTCCTGGCGTAAGACAAAGTATGCAAAATTAAATAAATATGGGATCATGGGGCTTTCTCTGGCCCCAAAGTCACACTTTATTGATTATGGATGGTTTTTCCACTGAGAAGGCCCCCTGCGATCATGTGACATTGCGTTCCATCCTGGAAATGATGGGCCTTGAGGATGCTTGACCCAGCTTACAAGGCTTTCCTTGAGCTACCCCTGCCTACATCACCGTGCCTCTCCTGTACTTTTCACTCCGTCCGTAATTAACGTTCCATTTCTCCAGATGCCCTGAGGACTTCTCTCTGGTTTTCTTTGTTTCACTCCTATGGTCCTTTCCACTAGTCAGAGCTCCTTGAATTGTTTAGGAGGCCTGCAATTTATTTTATACTAAGATAGGTAGAAAGAGTAATACGAGTGCTAGGAAAGGTAGGAATGGGCATTTTGGAGGACTTGCAGACGTGTATATCATTCACCCTCATAATTCTGCAACCTGAAGAGTGTCCTCCTTACTTCAGCTGGCGACTAAGCAAGGCTCAGCCTTCCGTCCACTGTTGCATGGCCGGTATGAGAAGGCGTCAGAATGCAACCCCAGGTCTGTGTGGTTTTGTATCCAAAATATGTTACATAGCATCTTTCTGCCCCTCCTTTGTCTCTACGCCTAATGTAGCTCATTTAATATGATTTTCACGTGGATTGGCTGATTTGCATCTAACGCAGCACCTTGATACGCTGCAGGTATTGTTATTATTTGCAAATACTAAGATTCAGATAGGCTAAGCAACTCTCTGGGCATAACACAGCTG